AAGATTATTTCATCGATAAATCTTTTCCAAAATATTTGACTACATCCTATTGGGGCATTGCTCAGGATATATTGTTCTATTGTTGTCATGAATATGTTGGCATAATTTGGGGCAGAGGGTTTCCCCATTGCGATGCATTCAGAGGGTTTCCCCATCACCGTCTGTTGAATTTTATATGCAGCAGGGTAGTTTCCCCATAATGATTTTTGATGACATTGAGGGAAGCTTTGATACCCTCATCTTGTGAAATGCAAGAGTGTGTATCGAAAGTGTGTTGTAAAAAATGAGCGCATGCTCTTTGAATCGAGGATGGAGGGTTTCCTCATTAATTAAAAAACTTTCTCTTGTTCGTCTCTCCAAGGTTAGGCAAACACATCGGTGAACTTGTGGACACACTGAGCAAGGACCTAAGCAGGAAAAATTTACTTTAAGAAGTTATGGGAAATGAGGGCCAGTTCCCAGCATTTCCAACTTTTGCCAGGGCAAATTTTTTCTGTAGGGCAAATATGCAGCCACCCCCCCCCCAACAAAAAGTATGAAGTGACGCCCCTGCCCATTTTGTCATCGAATCCAGATGCTTTTCACTTGCATTATGTTTACTGACTTTGTATGGCTTCTTCCAGTTGTTAAAAACAAATGAACTTCCTTTGCTGAATCTTGAACATGCAAAACAAGTGCTTTCATCTTTGCCTGCACTGTACGATAACAAAGTATACATCTTGCACCATTCAGGCTTGAATCTTCGTACAAAGTTCTCACTGCCAAATTTTCATCCTGGGAACTGTCGCAGCAGTGGCAGTTGAGGACCTTCAAGGTCAAGATCCTGATTCACAGTTGAGGCCAGGCTACCATTAGATTGTTGCTCATCTTGACTAGAGGTCTCATCGTAATCATTCCTTGTTAATGAAGTAGACATCTTGATTTCCAGGGCCGTCGCGAGGCAAGCCTTGTTGGGGGGGGGGGGGGTGTGGACTACAAATTTATCTGATTATAAAATTTTGGCCTGAAATTCTTTAGCTGCTGTCACAAACCTCTGCAATGCATTTTGTCAATCTAATTCTGTATATAATTCGCAACTTTTATTTTAATAACGGAATTTTCCTAATAGTTTTGTCAAATCTCTATATCGGAACGGGCAAAGGATATAGTTACTACCCGAGGCGGCACCATGGTTGCCGCCGAAGAAGCAGGAAATTTTCGAATTTTGATGCTTCTAGTTCTCTGGAAAATGCACTCTTTCAAGCAGATTGCACTAAAGAAATCCTCCTAATCCTATTGAAAAAGATTTTTTTTTCAAACAAATTGAACAGCAGATAAAAACAACTGGTACAATTTCGCCGTGGTCTTGAGAAATACCATGTTGTCAGTTACTTCTGAAGATAGGTAACAAGCAGCAGTGGTTGTCAATTTAGATCCCTCTTTCCTTCTTAGCATGCCTTTTGAATGTTAAAAAATTTGGAGCTCATAGTGAATTACAGTTGACGCTTCTACCGAGAAACTTAAGGGGAAATGGACACAAGAGACAATTTTACCTAAAGAGGGCCTGGATTTTTCGATTTAGTGCCAGCAAGAAATCTTCAAATATTCGAATCATTACTTTGTTTACCTTCATTCATATCAAGGAATATCATATTTAACCAACAGAGCAACTACCTTTGCTTGAACCTTTATTGATTTTATGACATGAAGGTCTCTAAAATACCTAAAGCGTTTCTTCCACCGAGCGGATTTTACCTGAAATTTCCTATTGAGTATTTTCTTTTTCTTGTTATCGAGGCCATGACTGTCAGATGAAAATATCTTGCTCTTGTCAATTCCCTTTCTTATGAAGACTTTACAATACTCCACCACTTCAATTCAAATACTGAATCAACGCAAATAAAAGAAAAATAATAAAAATATACGTGAAAAATTTAGTAATTAGATCAAAGAAAATCAGCATCTTAACAGTTTACTCTCGTTTTATTTCATGCAATGTTAAAAATTAATAGAACAATGATTTAAAATTCTTATCTTGACCAAAGTGAGGCCTTCAGCCCCCTATTCCCCCCAGTGACGCCGTGCCTGTCATGAAAATAATTTACAACTTAAATTAATTTATATGGACTCAACCTTGCCCTCATAAACATATGTATAAATCATTGCATCCATTGGCTATGACTTTCGGTAAGAAATGCTTTCGCTTGCTAATAACGGGGCTTTTCCTTACATACCTGTTCCGTTCTCTAAAATGCAATATCAGGAAGGTAGGTTCATAACAAATATGATATTTCCATTTCAAAGTTCCTAAGCGGCCCTTTACGAACTTCAGAGGTGACATTTCTGCGTGGCAACAAAGCACTTTTTGGCGCCCTGCGAAATCTTCGCTTGCCCTGCGAAATCGAGTATTTTTTAGATTGGGAGGGGGATGGGGGGGGGGGTGTCACACCGGTATTTTCGCCCCTGGGTGGATGCCGTTAAGGCTTTGACCGTCAAAACATATTGGAAAGAAATCACTATGTTGGACTAATCTCCTTGGACATTGCTCAGCCAAATTGCCGTCCCCCCCTTCCAGCGCCCCTGGCCCGTACACTTATGTTCGTAAACATGGTTTAAAATGCTGTTTAAAAAAGATTTTTCAGCTTAATTTAATTAATAGCTTTTTGCATCTGTTTCTTTATATTGTAATTTTTGTTGTTTTTCAAGGGGGCCTTGAAAATCAGTTTCTGTTGAATGACATTGAATATGAAAAATACAAGATCTTTGCAAACAAAGAAGCATATCTAGACTTTAAAAGGAAAACTGGACAAGGGGAAGTTTTTAAAAGCAAGATCAATGTAGAATTGTTTAGGGGGCTCAGCCACCTAAAATCAAGAAAAAGTTTTACAAAGAGGGCCTGCGCTCACTAGAATTCACCACTGTCCGATGTCCGGTACCCTTCTCTGATTTCAAAACAGAAATATGATTTTAAAGCCTGGTTTCCACTTGGTCGTTTGGGTCGTTTGGGTCGTTTGGGTCGTCAGAGTCGTTCCTGAAAGACACGAACGACCCAAAGAAGACATTGGTTTTCACTTGGTCGTTTGAGACTTTCGAGTCGTTTGTTGTTAATGCTGTTCATTGCTCGCACCATGCATCGCTCATTTAATTTTGGCGGCATACGTGGAAGGAACGATGGTAGCATTTCTACCTATTTCTACCTCTGGTGATTTCGTACAGACGACGATGTTAGATCACTAAATTTCAGTGCTATAGCTTGCCATGATTTGATATTTTTGTATTTATTTTTAAACTCTTTCCAGTAATTGTTATAATGGCACTCGTATTTTTGAACTTC